ACATGAGACGAATGTATAAACTCACACAGCGTTTTGTTTTGTTCTTGGTATTAAGGTTAAAACAATAGAAAACACTCTTGTTACTAGAAACGTTTGATACAATTGTGAATTGTGATATGCTGGTACTGTATCATATATGCTACTATAACTGGAGTTGGTGAATAAAATTCGTTTTAATAATTAATTAGGGACCTAATTATTTAAAAAGAAAATTTGGCATTTAGAGAATAGTGGAGGCTTAGGTGAACTTACAGCAAAGCAAAATTCAAAAGTAGGAATGATTTTAATGTAGAAAATAGAAGAGAATTGGGGATTTTGCCTTTTGTGACTCATTGTCACAGATCATTCATGACAAAAAAAAAAAAAAAAGGCCATCATGTCATGTGACCGCTCTTCTTCTATTCACTCTTTAGCTTTTCCTTTTGCATTTGCTGTCTTTATTTGAACCATTTCTTCTTTTATTTCTTTCTCTTTTTGTAAGTCCTAAAGGAATTTCTCCAACCAGACCGATTCTGTGATGGATACAACAAATTTGGCTATATTTATGAAGGTGCAGACATGAACATAAGACTACATAACTGTATAATTGTTGTTTTTTTCATTAGCAAAACACAACTCAATAAAAATATAACCGGAGAGTAATGGTAAAATACAAGAAAGAATGCATCTCTTCTTCCACGAAACTAATGCAGGAACTTCTGAATGCATGCTATCATATAATAATAGAATCTCGTATGCGTCGAACCATATACATACTTAATTAAATTATATGTATATATATTAATATATATAGGGAATTGTTCCTGCATTAGTGATATGTTTAGATTTTAGTTGTCAAGTATTTTATAAATGTAGCTTTAAGAGTTTTTTACATTTTTTGCTTTTTTCGAAAATTCGGATCAAGATATCTCTGATACGGATTAAATTGTCAGAACCCACACGCATCGGGATTTGAAACTAATACACATATTAGAAATATTAAATAGCACTTAATTAGACTAGAGTCCGTAAAAATAAATTTGTGAGAGTAATGAACTTTTTAGTCAAAGTTCTAAATTTTGCTGTCTTCCTTTTTTGACTATAACTTTTCTAGCGTCGCGAATCCCTAAACTCTCATTAAAAAGAAAAAAAAAATCGAAAGCTAATGGAAAAAAAGAATAGACCTAGCTACTGGCTACTGTCATTCATGACTGCTGTTGTTCAGTTTTTACTCTATGTATATGAACAATCGCCAAATTTGTAGCTTTGCGTTTGCGAGGTCATGGAATTAAACCTGGCGTCTATATATACATGCATGCACATGGTTAACTGGGTTTATATCATATGGCATCAAATGACTTGCGTACTACTATCTCGGCCTTTTTTGGTTGGTGTTTGCTTGAATACATAATGGATAATTATAGTCTTAATATTGACCGGGCCTTTGAGGCCCAAACCATGAACATCTGAATCCAACGGTGAAGATTTCCTCCTGAAAGGAAAAGTTATAAGATAATCTTAGCCGTCGGAAGCTTCTCTTTTTCTGTGAGGGTTCGGTTTGGTCGTCGTCGCAACTCCCCCACTTGTGAATTCCAAAGTACACTTAACACATACACAACCTCTTCAAGCGGTTTCCCCTGTTTGGTTTTACGGCGGCTCTAAACCCGTTTTCTCAGGTTTGCTTCTTATGCTTTCTGTTTCCAACTAATCATTGATCTGTTTAGTTCTTGGACAATTCTGAGTCCCATATGCTCCGAATTGTTTTTTTCTTCTTCTTCAGAATTCTCTGTTTTGTCATTAAGATTGGAACTATTAGTTTCCATTGTAAACTGTGTTATGTTTTGGAAACTTTATGGTGAAGTAAAAGGGCATGTTTTGACAGTATTTGTTCATGTTGAGTTCTGTCCAAGTAGAGATATTAGAACTCAAAGTTTTTGTCTTTTATTGGAATTGCCCACTGAGTATCTCCCGGCGTCATGTTTGCTCTTGTAACGTTAACTCATGGGAATGAATTATCGGTTTTGCTTCAGAAAATCCTATAATTCTGCAGAAAGTTGTTCTGTTAGGGTCCTTAGTTCTGTAATCTCTATCACTGGGAACAGTTTATATCTTTTCCATTTGACTAAAGTTACTAAAATTGTGCATATCCTGCGATTTAGCGTTGTTCTTTCTGGGGAGAGACCATAATTCTGACTGCCCTTTTGTTTTGTATTATTGCATCAGACTCTAACCCAAAGCGTAGAACTTTAGTAGTTATCTCTTTTGTGGTCTTTTACCGAGGAAGTGATGAATCTAAATGGCTGTTTATTGCTGACTACCATAAACAGATTAGTTGATTCTCCATACTAACCTTTTTCTTTTGTTCCCTTTCAATGGTTGCAGTGTATCTTCAAAATTGATAATGGCCACTGAAAAGAATACTCTGGATTGTATCCTTAAATGCTAGCGCATTTTTTGTTCTGTACTTCTTTACTTGATTGAGTTTTTATTAAGACAATGCTTTTGTGATTGATTTCAAATTCCTTGTTATATCAATTAGTGTTTGCCCCTTAATATTAACTCTAGCTGAGGCTACTTTTGCGCAAACAGTACCAGCTCTTGATTCTACAACAAAGAAACAGGATGAGGTATTTACAATCTTATTAGCCACATACTCAATCTCCTGCTAGCAAAGAATGCTTTTACATAAAGTTTGGTTATCTTTTCAGTCTCCTCCAAAGAGTACCCCGTCTCTTACTGTCACTGCTTGTGCTAATGGTAAGACAGATTATTAAGGGTTTGGTTCTTATCAACCACCTAAAATAAGTCTGCTATTTTCTTATTATCCTTGATAGATTTTTAAATTTCTATTTGCATAATCTGTTATTATGGCTCAGTAGTGAATGATCTATATATAAGTATTTTCTTAAGTGATTGTTGCTTGTGATGCATTTTGCAGGATCTGATGTAGTATCTTCTCAGCCAAATGACAATGGCCAAGCACATACTACAGATTTTCGAAAGGTTTGATTTTGTCCATTTGCTTTTATAGATCTGATGTAATTTCTTTGTTTTGACATGCTATCATGTTTGGCGCTGGGTCATTTTCATAGGGAAATCACCGTGACAAAAACAGCTCAGATGTCTATGCTGATTCGACTTTGCGTGGAGATCGACCAAAAGGAAGCAATTGTTTGTCTCAAACTTCTTTTTCGGCTCCTAAGCCTCCTGGAAATTTCAATGGTGCTGGTAGACTTCCTCCCAATACACAAGCACATGCATTCAGACCACCATTTAAGGTACCTTACACATATCTATTTATAAATAGTTGAAGTCAAGATTTTTGCATGACAATATCTTACTTAAGGTTTCCTCTTAATGTAAAAGGTTTGATTAAAATTGATTCTATTTGCCTTTTTAAAGGGAAAGGAAGCCGCAGGACAGTTCTTAACATTCTCCAATCAGAAGACAAGCTGTGTCCCATATTCTGGTTACATTAATGGAAACTCAAATAATGGTTTCTGGGATCAAAGGGATCATAATAAGAAACCTGAGAGAAATGGAGAGTCTGACTACTTGGTTGAATTGAAATGTGGTCCGAGAGCCAATGCAAAGACTCGTCCTCCTTCCGAGTCGTCACCACTGAAGCAAAACAATTCGTTTGCCTTGGCTCTTCGTAGAGAGATGTATAACCTCCCTGACTTTCAGACTGACTATGAAGATGCCAAGTTTTTCGTAATCAAGTCGTACAGCGAAGATGATGTTCACAAGAGTATCAAATATTCTGTGTGGTCAAGCACTATCAACGGAAACAAGAAACTCGATGCAGCTTTCCGTGATGCTGAAACAAAAACACTCGAGGATGGCAAGAAACGTCCAATATTTCTCTTCTTCTCGGTGAGTGAACTTGAGATGTGTCTTCTTTTCTTGTATGGCTAAGGGTGTTTTGTTAGTCTCATGTTTGATGTCTTACCCGTCCTTTATACAGGTGAATGCGAGTAGACAATTTGTGGGATTAGCTGAGATGGTTGGATATGTGGACTTCAACAAGGATTTGGATTTCTGGCAGGTTGATAAGTGGAGTGGCTTTTTCCCTGTTGAATGGCATGTGGTTAAAGATATTCCTAACTGGGAACTACGCCATATCATCCTCGACAACAATGAGGACAAGCCAGTTACTCAGACGAGAGATACTCACGAGATCAAACTCAAAGAAGGTCTCCAAATGCTTTCGATATTCAAGAAGTACTCTGCGGTAACATTTTTGTTAGACGACATGGACTTCTACGAAGAGCGAGAGAAGTCTCTTCGAGCGAAGAAGGAGCATAAACCAGCCACTCTTCGCATGGATCTCTTCAAAGAGAAAGACTATGACGTAAGATGCTCACGACCTTGACTAACTTGAGTTCATCTTCTCTATATATACTACAACTTTGTGTTTTTATCTAAACCCCGAGTTTTGTGTTTATTGAATCAGTATGAGATGGAAGGCAACAGGAGAATGAATCACCAAGAAAGAGGATATAATTGGAACAGAAGTAGCAATAGCAAAACACAAGCATCTCTTGTCAATCAAACCAAGTATCTTTCCATAAGAGGCTACTCTGGTTACAAGAAGAACACTGGCAATTCAACATGAGATGACATTCTTCAATCTTTAATTCCTCGTCTTCTTTATTTTATTCATTCATGAATTGCTTTAGTCAGTTCAGGAATCATTAGGTTTTTTTTTTCTTCCGTTGTTAGGGTTTGGTTTCTATTTTTTCTATTTCATATTCAGATATCTTTAGGCCCACGGATTCATTTTCACGATCTCAATGATAAATCACTTTTCAGATACAGCGAGGAAATTAGGGTAAAGTAAACAAATCATGATCATTAGAAGAAGATGCACACAAATGTGTTCGGAATTTTCTCAGAAACTAAGCAAACTGTTCTTTGCTCTTTCATAAGTTTTGGTTTTTGTCCCACATCGACAAGTAGAAGAGAACGTCTCCCAAGTCTGATAATATATAAAGGAAGCTGGGTCTCACTTACAAATCATACCTTTCTCGGCCTTTTGGCTAAGATCAAGTGTAGTATCTGTTCTTATCATTTTAATATCTGATATGTGGGCCATCGGCCCACACGATATTAACTCTACTTTTAAAGGGAGAAAGCCCACTAAGATAGCTTGCTATCTTGGGCTTTCGCGAGTCGCCCATGCGTTGCACTACTGCACGGGCTTGGCTCATTCCATCAACAAATAGTTTAAATCATTCATAATTAGTGAATATATTAATCTGAAAAAATATGATTGGAGAGCATACCAAATGAAAGCTAAACCGAAATTTGATTAATCGAGCATCCATCCAAACGACACCATATTTCTTAAACCCTCTAGACATTGGCACTGAGCTTGAGACGGTGTGAGATATCATAAATCAGTGAGTGAGTGAGTCATGTCCGATAATCTGAAGCATCCTCTCGATTCTACAGCTAGTGAGGAATCACTCGAGAGACTCTCAAAGGTTGCGAGAATCGAGGGATTTAGTGACGAAGAATCAGAGGAACAGCAGGGATTGGCCGACTTGGAGTCCATGAACCCAGTAAACCCTAGAGTGCAGCGTTACTTGGTTGCCATTGAGTACATCGGAACTCGTTTCTCCGGTTCACAACAGCAAGCTAAGGACCGCACCGTCGTCGGTGTATTGCAGGTTGTTGCGTGTCTGTAATTTCTTATACTACTGCTCTGTTCCTTCAAGATTTGCCTGGCATTGATTGATTTCACAGCTAATTATGTTTCATAGAGCAGAGCTTAGGCCTAGTTTATATTGGCTGACAAGTTTCTTAGGAGGATTCATGTGTGAATTGATACATTTTTGCAATACATTGCAGGAGGCTTTTCATAAGTTTATAGGCCAACCAGTAAAGATCTTTTGCTCAAGTCGAACGGTACGAGCTTCTTACATAAGTTTATTGGCCAGCGAGTTAAGAATTTTAGGTTTTGTTCGAGCAGTTATTACCTAGAACCTACATATATATAAATGATCAATCTCTTATTCGTGTCTGAAGAAACGTTTCAACTAGTTTTGGATTGCCCTTTGTCACTATAGATTCATAAGGACCATGCTTTGCAGTAAATTGATATCTATAGAAAGTTAGTATTGATGAATTAGATATATTTCAATGAAATGCTCATTTCTTTTTATGGTTTATGTTATCTGACATTGATATAGCGTCTTTTAGGATGCCGGAGTGCATGCACTGTCAAATGTTTGTCATGTTGATGTGGAACGCATCAGTAAAAGGAAGCCTGGTGAAGTGGTATTTCTTTTGCGCCAACAGCTTTCTTTTATCTTGTGGCTTACGAATGGAATTATTTGAGTCACGTCCATGGTAACATAAATTATAAATACACATTGTTTTGAATCTCATATGTCCCAATTGTAGTCTGGTTTATACATGAATATGGTTAGATTCTGCAACGTGTATTCACAAACACATGCTATCTTATATGCTTAATGCTCTTGCGAACTATTAAGGACAGATACATTTGCATTCTCACTTGGACGCTATTTTTTTAACTGTAGTTACCACCTCATGAGCCTGGTGTGGTCCAGAGAGCGGTGAACCATTTTTTACAGGTTAATATCTGAATTCTTTTCGAATTGTACCTATTAGATACAATGGGTTTTCTTCTCATTCCATGGCCACTCCCACAAAATTATCCTGTAACTAGTGATCTTAACCAAATTTACTTAGACCTGTTGACAATTTCGTTTAAGTTTCTCCAACCTGTCTTTTCCTTAGTGCTTACTTTCATCTACTTTGACCTATCTACTATTCGTTATCTCATTAAAATCCTAATGTTGTTATTAAGCAGAGAAAAGATGGTGATGTTATGGTGATTGATGTTCGGTGTGTCCCAAGTAATTATCATGCCAGATATAAGGCCCAGGAGCGCACGTAGGTATTCTAATTTAGTTTCAGTTGTTCTAGAGATTTTGATGATCCATATGTGTTCTGATAGTATTGTAGAGTACTAGGTTATGATTTGAAAGTATATTCCCTTCAATTGGAAATTGAGAATTTATTCACTCATTGTAGATACTTCTACCGCTTGCTATCCGGGTCAGATCCATTATCAATCCTTGAAAAAGACCGTTGCTGGCATGTTCCTGAGGAGTTAAATCTTCGCTTTATGCAGGTTCACTTACTAACTACTGTATTGTCAGCTTAAATATCAGCACTGATCCAAAAAATTTATTTTCCCTTAAACGAAGAGTCCTTTTCACAGTGAGAATAAGAGATCTCTAACAACATCATCAATGATTGGTGTACAGGAAGCATGCAGAGTTCTTGTTGGATCTCATGATTTTAGCTCCTTCAGGGCAGCTGGTTGCCAGGTCAAGTTTCTTTGTCTGTTTTTGTTTAAATATCTCTTTATATCATACTGATACACAATCAATATGAATTTTTTTGAATGGTTGGATATTTTTCCATTCCCATTCATAGAATCCTTGATCAATGCATCTCAATTGTAGATTGGTACTTGGTAGACCTTATATATTTGTTTGTGTTTGTGACCATGTGACCAAGTATGAATGTATGTTAGCTCTAGCGGGTTGATGTCTCCTGCAGAATAAAATTTTGTGTAATCCTGCTCTATTTTTTGGCAAAGCTTGTTCATTTGTAGTATTCTCAGTCACAACATATCAAATTAATCTTGTAAATTCTCGTTTTGTTTTCTGTAGTCAATAGATGTGCAAGTCAATCTTGGTTCTTTAAGATGCATATGTATCCTTTCGTCTCAGTGATTTGTAGAAATGGGAAGATAACTGTCTGTATCTATGAAGAAGTTTTTTCATGTGTAGACTGATGTTCTTCCGGAAACCTGATAAACCTTTTGGTGACTTGTTGTTATGCAGGCAAAGTCACCTATGAGATCTTTAGATGAACTAAATATCACTGAAGTACCATCAACTCCATATTTTCCATCTATCACGGAAAGGACGTTGAGTAACCTAAACAATGGAGATCCTCTCGCATGTTCCAATCAACCCAAGTCTGAGACTGCTGGTGTTACTACTAATGTTGGAGAAGTGGAGGGCTCTACAGAGGGTGATTCTTTTGGTAGAAGGAGACGCCACCGCTGCTATGTAGTTACAGCACGTTCCCGGGGTTTTCTGTACCACCAGGTTTGATTTCTATTCATTGTCTGTATCTCTTGGTGGATCATGTGTATCAACTGTAGTCTCTTGATTGATACATATAGTAATAGTTGTCCACATGTCCTTATTTTGTTGTGTGTGAAACTTCCAATGAGAAACATATCAATTTGATTTGAAAGTGTAAGAGACGAATTGTGATGCTCTATGTGGCGTGTTGATTAGTCTCTTTATGCTGTGCAGGTTCGACTGATTGTAGGAGCACTGAAATGCGTAGGCACTGGAGAATTGACGGTCTCAGACGGTATGTCATTGTCTCTGTCATTACAGAGTTTACAGTTGTGGGTTTGATTGGAATTGAACAATGTTTAAAACATCCATTGGGTTATCTATGAATTTGCTTCAGTTGAACGAATCCTGGAGGCGAAGACAGTGAGTGCAGCAAAACCCATGGCTCCTGCATCTGGTCTGTATCTTGCCCGTGTCAGATATGAGTTTCCATGAATACGTGAATTTACTTCATTTCCGCAACAATGGGCGAGGAGTCACCAATATTGGTTTTTGTTCAGAAGCTGATTAGCTGAATAGATAGAGATACTGAGTTCTTATGTGTTACACCATCACTCCTGAGTTACTGAATCCAATGAACTGGAAATAGTGATGTACGGGCGGATCAATTTCGAGTATTTCATTTGGAATGTTTTGACCTCCTTCTACGAATGCTTTGATAAAATTGGTTTTTAAAAGTGTTGACTCCTGAAAACTGAAATGGCATAGATGGACTTAAAAGGCTTAAAAGAGACCTCTGTTTTTTCTACTATAAGATCCACAAAGATAAAACCCAAAAAAGAAAGACATTGTAGTGTTTGACCAAAAAAGTTCCTCCAACGAATGCATCTGACTAAACCAAAGTATGTCTGAGAAGCAGCATCAAAGGCCGAGGTTACTCAGAAGCTGACTCCATCTGGGAGTCTCCTCATCAAAAATGTATGTTACAGGAGAAACTAGTACCCCACTTCCTCCCACCTGCAATCACATGTGACACATTACTTAAGAACACATCCGAGATTTGAGACAAAAGACTGATCTCAGTACCAAAAACAATGTGGTTTGCCATGTATTTGTAAATCCCTTAAATAATGACAATCTTAGAGTAAAAGGGGGAGGTGGAAGCAAAGGTGGATATCATTACTAACCGCTCTCAGTTGCTGCACGGACTCATAAAGCGCTTTTTTTGGTACACATATCACAATGGCATAGTACTCAATTGTTACTTTTCCATCTCGTTTACAATAAACTGGACTTATTGTTGGTCCCTGCACATCACAAAATAAGCACAATCGTCTGAACGATCACCTACAAACTCAGTGGAACTACATCGAAAGATATCCAAATGTTATCAAACTTTACCTGCAATCCTGATAGTGATGGTTGGGTTTTCACACGTTCAGCCACTTCTTCAGCATCCGTTCCTCTCATGTTTGCAACCACCTGGAGTGAAAACATCGGATGAAAGAAAGCAAAAGTAGAAATAAGGTGAAACATCACAATTAATATGCACGTACAGTGAATTGACCATTTGCCTTCAAATGAGCCTCTAATCTCTCGAGAATCTCATGCACTGTTTCTAGTGCTCCTTTTCTCTCAGTCAATGCCCTTCTACTCGCCACTAGTGCAGCCTGATAGTACGTAAAAAGAAAAAAAAATTGGTACACCGGTTGCCAAGTGCGAAAAAATAATCAATTCCAAAGATCTTCATGTCATACCTGACTTTCCAGCACAACCCCTCCTTCAATTTCTTTTAAGTTGTTCTCTTTAAGGGTTGTCCCACTGCTCACAAGGTCTAAAATGGCATCAGCTATCCCCATCTAATTAACAAGAGCATATGTGTCAACAAACACTGCACACAACAGTAGTTTCTTTCTCTATAACTATAATCCATCATCTCACGCTGATGGGACATAATAGCAAAATACTTTCACAATTTGGAACGTTAATCTCATATCAGCAAGAATAACTCTGAAAAGATAAGAGAAGAATCCGATAACTCTCTTGTAAAAATATCTAAATGTACTCAGCATTTCATACA